CCCCAAAACCCCAAAACCCCAAAACCCCAAAACCCCTCAAAATTTTCCAAATTGAAACTCTCCTTTATATAATATTAATTTAAATAAAAATGTTCAGTAACAAAGACTTCAAAGAGACTCCTTACTCTAAGCGGGATAAAGGTACGTCATCCCTAGTCAGGGCGGACAAGTGGGATAACGGTGAAAATAGGGAGGGTATCGGGCAGAGGGAATAGATCTAGCTTAAGGTGATGAAATCGCTAAGTTAATAATTTTGTACATGCTTGAAATATTTGAAAATAGAAAATTGTGGATGGGCTAATTTTATCATACACTTTAGTAAAGTATCTGGAGGGATTTATAGTAGATGTATGATACCTTTGTGTCTTAGATTGATTTAAGAGTTGGTGAATGTAAGCCTGACACAGCATATAGAGGAAAACAAGGAATTTGCGAACCTGTTCTCCCTAGGGAGTTCTGAAAAAGATGAGGATTATTACCCAGAAATTGATAAAAACAGCGAAGTTAGCGGTAAAAATTTGCTGGTAAAACTATAGATATAATTCTAGAAGAATCCAATACCTTTAAAGGTGAGAAAGCTCCAAAAATAGCTAAATAAAGAAATACTTGACCTCTACATGGATAATATTGATAACAACATTTCCTTTGAAACAGAAGGGATGTATCAAAAGGGAACAAAAGTTCGTGGAAATCTTAAGAAAGGACAAATTTCATCTAAACCTCAAACCAGATCTAGAAAGGAAGGTGACAAATCAAATATGAGAAAGAGGGAAATCAAGAACTTGAAGAAGATCTTTGCTGAGAATGGAGCTCCCTCTTCTCCGCAGAGAAGGTCTGGAAAGCATCATTCGAAAAAGGATCGCAAAACCCGTAAAAGGTAGGCCAGTATTTTCATTAACTTTAGAAGTAGACATTATAAAAGGGAGCAAGAAGAACTTGATATTGATCCAGGTAATTTATCAGAAATGACTATATTAGCCTCCGGACAAGAAAGCGGCTCAGAATCTCAACAAGACCTTGAGTCTGATGAAGAATCTGAGATAGAAGAGCACAAGGATCAGCATAAGGGGAGCGGAAAGGGTTATCAAAGAAAAGCTAATTTTAAATATAATCGACCTGCTCCATCTCAACATGGTTTAAACATGAACAATATTAGTGACGGAATTGGGGAAGGTAATCCAATGATGTATTCAGGAATGCCTAAGTATTATGACAGAATGATTCCTCCTTATAATCCTTATCAGATCCCAGGACAGCCAGGGTACTATCCCCAAGGAATAACAAATCCTTTATCCCAAATAGAAAATTCACCATATGTACATCCTATGGCTCCTCATATGATGGATCCTTCAATGATGGTACCTCGGCAGCCTTCGAGAGGAGCTTCTACTGCAAAAAGCGAGGATTACTATCGTGATCTACGCTGGCATTACCAGACTTCTTTCTTCCCATTCTCAAACGAGTTGCTAAAAGAATTGGTTGGTCAGATAGATATGTATGTTCAGATCTTAATCCAGACCCTTCTAAGTACTAAAGATAAAAGCCATCAGTATCAGCTCTATGAGCTGCTTTACCTCTTCACTAAACAAAAGGAAGAAATCATGAAGCAGCTTAAGCTGCTTCCAAAATTTGAAATTCCTTGGATCAACCCAGAAAAGAATGCGGGAAAAGGATCAGGAGAGCCCCTAAAGATCCATCCGCAGGTATCTTTCTACCAGAGCCCTCTACTTGAGTATGCTTACAAAATCGTCAAAAAGATTGGGAAGTAAGTGCTTAATAAGCTAATTTTTAGGATAAATAACATTGATGAGTTGAACAACTATCTTTTGCAGTACAAGCCATTGATTAACCCCTTGCTATTGCCTGAAAAATGTGAAGATACTCAACAGAAGAACAGAAGGAAGTTCTCTCCTCTTGATGACAAGTTCCTTCTTCAAGGCCTGAAGGAGTACTGTTACAAGTAAGTAAGCCTAATGTTATACAATAGAGATGTCAGTAAAATCCAGAAATACTGGTTGCCTGAGAAAACAGAGAGTGAGATTAAGCATCGATACAAGAATAGCACATGTGCAAAAGCTGAAAAATAACATTATTAAAGACTGGAAAAACACTAGTAAACAACCCCTCACTGATGGAGAGAGGGCTAAACTTGATGAAGCTGTTGCATGGTTTGGAGATAAGAACAGATGGGCTCTAATCAACAAATGCTATTTCCCAGAAAGATCTAAACAATTCTTGATGAATACATATTTTAATGCGGATAAAAAGACCAAACCTGCTAAAGCACAAGAGCCAAGTAAGGAGAAGAGCTAAGTTATCTTACAAACTCTTCTAGTCTGGTAGAGAAGGCTGCTAACGGAGTATATAATTTGTTATTTCACAAATAACTTATTCAGTTTGAATGAAAACCTTTGGGGTTTTGGGGTTTTGGGGTTTTGGGGTTTTGGGG